TTTTCGACATCATAACTTCCAAAAGTGGTCCGAACCCCTGGTGTGTTTTAACATTTTGACTTGGAAATGTGCTTCGCGCCACAACGGCGTGCACTTTTTCGACATCGCAACTTCCAAAAGTGGTCCGACGCTGAGGTGTTTTGTACATTTTGACTTGGAAATGTGCTTCGCGCCACAACGGCGTGCAATTTTTCATGTCTCATCTGGCCAGCTGGCTCCGCACCCGCCGCTTTAGCGAGCCTACTTTTTGACCCTCCGGAGCCACAAATCATTGGAAAAACACAGTGTTTCGCGACTTTCCTACCTTTTCGCGCATCTGCATCTTCTTTCTTCTTACTCTTTCTCTTCTGATCTTCTCTCTTCTAATCTTCCGCTTCTCTCTGCCTCTGCCCTGCTCTGCTTTTCATCTGTCCATATTGTCGGAAGTTTGACTTCTAAACTTCCTTCGATTAATCACTATTAATCACTATTAATCACTATTAATCACTATTAATCACTATTAATGACCATTAATTAATCACTATTAACCACTATTAACCATTACGAATCACTGCTAACCACTATGAATCCACGATGAAAATCCGCGGGTCCTCTGGGCCTTTCAGCTCTGCCAGGACTTGGGCCAAGAGGCCGTTGTCGCAGGCCTCCACCAAGGTTTTGGTGATCCGCGTGCGCAGCCACTCTGCCTGGAGCAAACGGAAGAGACATATTTTTCGGGACGTTTAGGCTTTTAGGTCCAGAAATTTAGAAATTCATGGAACATTTTGATGTCGGTTCCACATTTCTGGTGCTATGGTTATCAATGGGTCAACAAATCCAAAAATGTATTGCCATGTCTTTCCGGCAGAAAGAAGGTTACTCAGAAATCTCCCAGAAATCCCAAAATCAATTTGTACCCAAGACCCTGCCATGTCAAAATGTGGATTCAACACCTGCTCCAAGATTTGTCGAAAAATCTGCTCTTGGGGGCTTACCTGCTATCCAGCAAAGTGATGTGGCTATGGGTCACGACACATGGAACCCCCTGATAAAAACAAACCCACAATAGCTGGCAAATGGGAGGCACACCCCCCATATATATATATATATAAAGATGTTACTTTTTGGTTCTGATCGCGGATGCCTCTTCGCTTTTGCGGATGTCTCCAAGAACCTTCTCCAAGTCGCCGTTGGCGGCTGCCTACACGGATCAGCAGGAAACATCATTGTTGTCTGGCCGTATAAAATTGCGGAAATCAGAAATGTCACTAATTGTATGCAAACACATAAATAAATGGACATATGTCTGTAGATAATTAATGTAATTAATGGATGGCCCAAGATTTCGAACCATGCGCCAATCTTCAGGAGTAAAGGGATCTTTCGTTTGCCTCAAAGACCTTTCTAAATTGTGTTTTCTGCAAAGGGCATTGTCCGATCCCTGCCGTGCTCCCAGTCCACACCTCTGCCAAGAGATCGGCAGTGCGCTTTTGGACGTCTCGAAGAGTCTCCTCGCGAAATATATCAAACAAAATCATACAAAATACAAATATGAAACACAATGCATTATCAAATGTACCAAATATGAAACATGCAATGTGTTTCTTGAGGCCAAAAGTGAGGATAATTTAGCAAAACGAGTATACATGAGTATGTGTATGAGTCTAAAGAGTCGCTCTCAAACATTTTTCGATGGTTTATGATGGAACGATTTCCATCCCGTTCGCAAAAAAATAGGCTTTCTTCAATCCCTTTCCCAGCTCCTTCTTTCCGGCGGATTTTCCCTAGCAATGAACATCAATGAGCAGTTGGGATTGTCCGATTCTGAAAGGATCCACTTTGGCTTGACATTTCCGTGAAAAAAAAACTGTGTGGCTTGACCTCATCTTCCGCAAGATCCGCAAGGACAACACATTTTTTAATACACAGGCAAACATGCCGTTTGCCCTGCACGGCATGTTTAGTCGTATTGGTGCAACAAAGCCTGGACCCTTCCCGCCTTTCCATAGATTTGCTCCAGTGCCTCCTCCAATTTTCCAGTCTCTGATGCCTTGCGGGGGATGTGGCTTGCTGTGGCTTGCTGTGGATGTTGTTCCAAAGATTCCAAAGTGTGAAAAATTCTCTTCTCAAGAGTTTTCTCAGAAGTTTGGACAAAAAAAACATTTCGGCCATAACTAGCTGCCTATGTTGAAATATTGTTGAAATTATGAGTGGGATGAGATGGCACCCAGCTGCGACTGTCGCAGGTCGCGCAGTCCTCCAGCAACATCTGTTGCACTTGAAGACGATCGGTTTCACCCTGGAGTCGTGACTTGGAGATAGGTTTGTCGGGGTGTACTCCATTACTCCATGACTTGTGATCCAAAATAGATGGCTTTGTTAAACCGGAAATCATGGACATATTAATGATGATCAACCATAGTAGGTTTTCCAAAAAACCCTGTTTTCAGAGAAACCCAGATTTGGGTCAGCTGCTGATGCGACTTACAGAACTATCGGATTTTTTCTCAGTGCTTCGATGCGCTCCCTGGGCCACAATGCCAGGGGATTCCATCTGCGCTCCTTTTGGTGAACTTCCCTGAGCACTGCTTGTAGCTCACCAGTCTCCGCGGCCTTGTGTGCTTCCAGAATCAAAACACATAAAGGGACTTTAACGTCTGCAAAATCCGTCATGGCATCCTGATTCTCTTTTTGTCTTTGAACAGCAAGAAATCCACTTGTTCTCAACAAAGATACTCACAAGAAAACCAAATTGATGAAGTCCTTTTCCATCTTCCGAAGAAGAATATCATCATATCATATCATGAACCATATCATCACACTACATATTTCTTGGAAGTTCACTGCCACTTAAACCGGAGTCTTCCCCTTGGCTGTGCCTGATTCAGCAGCTGTGCCACTTGTTGTCGGGTGGAAATTGTGGTATCCTGCAAGTTCCCCTCGCCAGTTTTATGATCATGGCATCTATGGCCATCTGCACATCATGACGCCCCCACGGTGGCTTCAACATGTTGATGTTTCAATATGTATCAAGTCCCTGAAAAATCAAATATACTCCATATATATCAAGTATTCCAGTATACCATAGTCATTAGCCACCTGCCATCCGAGGCACCAGAGAAAGTCAACAAAAAATTCCAACACTTCAAGAATGAACAGAAACTTTCTAGACTCCAGTTGGTTGGTGGCCGTGTTCCAAAGGTGTATGCATTTTTTGCTGTGTTTAGGAATCATGCGCACATGTGTGTGTATGTATGTATATATATATGTTGTCATGTGTATATATATATATTTCTTTATATACATGATCTATTTTGTATTTACACATAAATATACACATTATGTGTGTATATATATAATATTTATACATATTATATCATGTGTATATATATATATACACAGTTGAACCTTGACACCAATCAAAAACCGGCAGTTTTGCCCAGCAAATGCTGACCTTTCCAGACTTCAAGTCGGAAACGACCTTCTCCAAGCTACCGTTTTGAGCAGCCTCACAGAGGGCCCTACATGCTGTGTCCGAACGCCCCACAGGTCCTTGATGTTTCAATGCTCAAAGAAACACATGTTACAAACAAAACAGAAACACGGTGCCAAGATGTGTCAACACTAGTCACAGAAAATGTCAATGTAAGTGACTAAAAACAAGTAACAACGAACACAGAAAGTATCAGTGATGGTAAAAGTGATGGTAAATTGGTGCCTCCAGCAATGACTCTCTTGCAGCTTGGCGGATTCCGGCAATGTCGTCCTAGGTGCAACGGTGCTTGTCACCAAGGTCCCTGCTTTGGGATACGAGGAAAAAAACCCTGCATGCGCGGTATATCTGCAACTTGCAATCATGTTGTCTTTCCGGTGTACAGTATGTATACATGACTGTGTAATACTGTGTACATAGTTAGAACTGGACATGTTATATTGATATCATATTATGATCCGCTGTGTATGCATACCATATACAACTCTTTGAAGTCAATGCAGTGCCTGTTGTACTGACCACTAGACTCAAAAACTTTGCTGCATCATGCTGCATTCCTGAGTTTTTGCTTGAGTTCGCGGTGCATTGAACCGTTCTATTGTTGAAACCCACAACTTTGTCGTTCCATGTCCCTTTCCGTGCGAAGCGACGCGTCCTGAAAACTGGATGCAGCGTCCTGCCGGAGGCACGACAGGATGGACAGGAGAAACTTTCTCACCATCTTTCATGCAGAGAAAAGATGAGAAAATCAAATATGATATCTGAATCAGAGAATCTGTTGCAAAGACTCACAAATCCGACAGCTCTCGTTTGAAAACTAATTGACTCAAGACGCGCTCAATCTCTGAAACATCAGGAGGAACTATCCATGTTGCGCAGAAATTCATCCACATTTGATTCCTGAACATAGTTTGTGATCATGACAAAATGAGATCTAATCAATTCAGCATTTGAATTGCAGCATCGTGCCTGGCGGGACTTTTGTTCCAAGATCTGTTCGAGAGACCCATCCGCAGCTGCCTTTCATGCAGCTGAAGTCGCGATTGCTGGAATACCCCTGATTGTTTTTTTTGGCATCTTGAGATGTAACAATGTATGTATCAGTATATCCACAACATATCTTTAGCCGTTGAAATTCCGCTTTTGGGGTGCTTTTGGGATGGCTTCTGAACATTGGGGTGTGCATACAAGTTTTTCCATTGTACTTTTTTTTCTCGTTTTGTGCCACCTAGGCTTTTTTCTATACATGCAGCGTGTTTTTCTTTGATCGGCCTCACTCTGCCTTATCCAACACCCACCAAATGCGCTGAATTGAAAAATGATGTTTTCCTGTGAAAGGCCCTAAACTGTTTTATTTGTCTTCAGGGACAGCGATGAAGTACTGTAGGTGCATGATGTATTTGTTGCTTACGTGCTCTTGCATGTATATACACGTTTATGTGTGTATGCGTGTGTATGCCTGTCTGTATCTAGGTAGGTATGTAGATAGATAGGTTTGTCAATATGCAGACCCAGGTCTAAGGGTCTGCAGGTCCGACTGTCTGTCTGAATGCATACATGCATGGATTCCATGGATGTATGGATATTTTGTATGGCATGGCATGCGTACATACGTATGTATGGATGTATGTACTGTATGGAATTATGGATGGATGGATGCATGCATGTACAATCGCACTACTATATATATATATATATCGGAGAATGGACTCTGCAAACAAACCAACCCCCCTCAAGCGCATGCAATACAACAGTGCTAAAACATGAAGTTGACGCAACAATGAAAGCATGCGACTTGAACGAAATGCATCTAATCAAATGAAACCACTACGCAGCGCTCAACCTACTTACATGATCTCCGTTCGCAAAGACATTTTATGACTCCTTGGGATCGATATGGGTGTGGCTGTTCAGACATGGATCGATAGGATTCCTGTTCCAGACCCGATGGAATAGGATGTAGTGGGCTCCCAGCAATGCTTTACTGCCCTGAGTGAAAACGGGGTTGCCAGCAATGGCACATATTTTATTTCCCTTGCAATTCCCTGTCTTAAAGAGCGCCATTCTACGGGCACAATCAGATATGATCAAATATGCTTGCCACGTTCATGCCCAAAGTTGGATGAAGACGTTCTGGGATCAAAGCCATGGCTATCTCGCATGCCTGCACCAGCATGTTCGCAGCCTTTTGCCGAAGCTCTTGAGACTTTGCCTGAACAGGTTTTTTACATGACAACAGGAAAGGTTTGAAGTAGAGAAATTGACGTTTTTATTGAAGATCAAGCCGCAAGCCGCTTAAACGTTTTCGGATATTTTGATGCTCCTTTCGCAACTCTGATCCAACCTTCTTGGATTTCTCTGCCAGAATCCTCTCCAAGTCACCGGTTTCGGCTGCCTGCAACGGACAACAAAAAAGTGATACACTGATCATTTATCTGTGAAACCGTCGTGAGACTTGGCTCTACTGACTTCTCAAACACCTCCCACAACTACAGCCTTAGCACACTGGTTGCAAACAAATGATATGTACATTTTTGATTTCATCGGAAGCACTTTTCCGCTGTTCCTGCTTGTAGCAATAGTTTGATGAATTTAGTTTTAGGATGGGACTGCATGATACGATCTGTCCACCAGTGCTGCAAAACACACATCCAGATTCAGTTTCCAGCACAATGCCATGGTCAAAAGAATCTCTTTGCGGGTCCATCCACTGGGAATCTCTGCACTGGATTCTTTTGGAACACTTCTATGCCCAAGGCCGAGTACTGTCCGACCATCATGTCCAACTATCTGACCATTCAATTTGTTGTGAATGCTTGCGCAAGTGTTCTGCAGGTCATGCTAGCACCGCCCACAAAAGACATTTTCTTGGGCCTGCGTCAGCAGGTTTGCAGCCTTTTGTCGCAGCTCCATGGATGGTTCCTGCACATGTGCAATCTGACAGCATGATGAAAGACACACAAGGCACCAAGTATCACATTACTTGAAAGTCAGCGCTGCTCTGACCCAACCTTCTTGGACTTTTCTGCCAGAATCCTCTCCAAGTCACCGTTTTCTGCTGCCTGAAACGGACAAAGCAGTAATAATCGTACAGTATCTGACAAAGTGATTGTCTATCTGTGAAAACATACGAACACATCACAAGGTTTGGCAGAAATTGCAGATTGGCTCTACTTGTCCCAGACGCCTCCCACAACTACGGTCGCAGCACTACGCTCACAATAGCGTTTTACAAACGCAGTTGATTTTGAGAGATGAGAAACTTGTTTATATTTGCGAAACATACCAAGGCCAGAGAATCTATTTGCATATGGAGAAACTATTTGCATATGCACTTGCCATGCCCAGTGCCGACTATTGGACTGTATGACCATCATGTCCAACTATCTGACCATTCCATTTGTTGTGAATGCTTGCGCAAGTGTTCTCCAGGTCATGCTAGCACCGCCCACAAAAGACATTTTCTTGGGCCTGCATCAGCAGGTTTGCAGCCTTTTGTCGCAGCTCCACGGATGGTTCCTGCACATGTGCAATCTGACAGCATGATGAAAGACACAAAAGGCACCAAGTATCACATTACTTGAAAGTCAGCGCTGCTCTGACCCAACCTTCTTGGACTTTTCTGCTAGAATCCTCTCCAAGTCACCGTTTTCTGCTGCCTGAAACAGACAACACGGTGATATACAGTATCTGATACACTGATCGTTGATCTGCGAAGAAATATCATAAGAGTTGGCTCTACTCGGTCGGCTCTATACTTGTTTCAGACCGCCCCCCACACCCCAAATCACTACAGCCACAACCGCTGCTGGTTCACCCAGAAGGAAAGCTTGCCCTAGGCATGAGGAAGACATGACCATTCTTTCTGTTGGCCTTCCCCTTCTCGACTTGTTGCAAGCCCGTACTTGCAAACGCAAAGCTTGATGAATAAGATCTTGGCTTTTATTGGAATTATTCTGAATTTTATTGAATTACGTTGAACTAATTGAATTTTTTAACGTAAATGAATGAACTTTAACTCCATCACGATGATTTCTGCTGCACCAAAGGTACAAAGGGTCTATCTATATATAAACATGTGTGTATACACACACACACATATATATATATATAAATACATAAATAATTCGATAAATAAATCAATATCTATATATATATACAAATGTAAATATATAAATATAATTATACATATAAATATAAACATAAGAATAATATAAACATAAGAACAATATAAATATAAATGTATATATATATATATCTACAATAATATACACATACACAGAATAGTTGTTCAATACCCAAGGCCGAGTACTGTCCGACCATCATGTCCAACTATCTGACCATTCAATTTGTTGTGAATGCTTGCGCAAGTGTTCTGCAGGTCATGCTAGCACCGCCCACAAAAGACATTTTCTTGGGCCTGCGTCAGCAGGTTTGCAGCCTTTTGTCGCAGCTCCACGGATGGTTCCTGCACATGTGCAATCTGACAGCATGATGAAAGACACAAAAGGCACCAAGTATCACATTACTTGAAAGTCAGCGCTGCTCTGACCCAACCTTCTTGGACTTTTCTGCCAGAATCCTCTCCAAGTCACCGTTTTCTGCTGCCTGAAACAGACAACACGGTGATATACAGTATCTGATACACTGATCGTTGATCTGCGAAGAAATATCATAAGAGTTGGCTCTACTCGGTCGGCTCTATACTTGTTTCAGACCGCCCCCCACACCCCAAATCACTACAGCCACAACCGCTGCTGGTTCACCCAGAAGGAAAGCTTGCCCTAGGCATGAGGAAGACATGACCATTCTTTCTGTTGGCCTTCCCCTTCTCGACTTGTTGCAAGCCCAACTTGCAGAAGCAAAGCTTGATCAATAAGATCAATAGAGATCATATTGATTGAACTGTATTGAAATATATTGACATATTGAAATATATAAAATTACATTGAATATTATATTGAATTATATTGGAATATATTGAAATACATTGAAATATGTTAAATTACATTGAATTATATTGAACTATATTGGAATTATTTTGAATTACATTAAACTAATTTAATTCTACAACGTAAATGAATTAACTTCAACTCCATCACAATGACTTCTGCTGGAAAACAGATACAAAGGGTCTATATCTACATTGGCACAAACACTTTCAATACCGGAGCTGTTCAATACCCAAGGCCGAGTACTGTCCGACCATACGCACAAGTGTTCTGCAGGTCATGCTAGCACCGCCCACAAAAGACATTTTCTTGGGCCTGCGTCAGCAGGTTTGCAGCCTTTTGCCGCAGCTCCAGGGATGGTTCCTGCACACGTGCAATCTGACAGCATGCTGAAAGACACAAGGCACCAAGTATCACATTACTTGAAAGTCAGCGCTGCTCTGACCCAACCTTCTTGGACTTTTCTGCCAGAATCCTCTCCAAGTCACCGTTTTCTGCTGCCTGAAACGGACAAAGCATTGATAATCGTACAGTATCTGACAAAGTGATTGTCTATCTGTGAAAACATACGAACACATCACAAGGTTTGGCAGAAATTGCGGATTGGCTCTACTTGTCCCAGACGCCTCCCACAACTACGGTCGCAGCACTACGCTCACAATAGCGTTTTACAAACGCAGTTGATTTTAAGAGATGAGAAACTTGTTTATATTTGCGAAACATACCAAGGCCAGAGAATCTATTTGCATATGGAGAAACTATTTGCATATGCACTTGCCATGCCCAGTGCCGACTATTGGAATGTATGACCATCATGTCCAACTATCTGACCATTCAATTTGTTGTGAATGCTCGCGCAAGTGTTCTGCAGGTCATGCTAGCACCGCCCACAAAAGACATTTTCTTGGGCCTGCATCAGCAGGTTTGCAGCCTTTTGTCGCAGCTCCACGGATGGTTCCTGCACACGTGCAATCTGACAGCATGATGAAAGACACAAGGCACCAAGTATCACATTACTTAAAAGTCAGCGCTGCTCTGACCCAACCTTCTTGGACTTTTCTGCCAGAATCCTCTCCAAGTCACCGTTTTCTGCTGCCTGAAACAGACAACACGGTGATATACAGTATCTGATACACTGATCGTTGATCTGCGAAGAAACATCATAAGAGTTGGCTCTACTCGGTCGGCTCTATACTTGTTTCAGACCCCCCCCCCACACCCCAAATCACTACAGCCACAACCGCTGCTGGTTCACCCAGAAGGAAAGCTTGCCCTAGGCATGAGGAAGACATGACCATTCTTTCTGTTGGCCTTCCCCTTCTCGACTTGTTGCAAGCCCGTACTTGCAAACGCAAAGCTTGATCAATCAGATTTTGGCTTTTATTGGAATTATTTTGAATTTTATTGAATTACATTGAACTAATTTAATTCTATAACGTAAATGAATTAACTTTAACTCCATCACGATGATTTCTGCTGCACCACAGGTACAAAGGGTCTATCTATATATATAAACATGTGTGTATACACACACACACATATATATAAATACATAAATAATTCGATAAATAAATCAATATCTATATATATATAGATACAAATGTAAATATATAAATATAAGTATACATATAAATATAAAAATAAGAATAATATAAATATAAATGTATATATATATATATCTACAATAATATACACATACACAGAATAGTTGCTCAATACCCAAGGCCGAGTACTGTCCGACCATAATGTCCAACTATCTGACCATTCAATTTGTTGTGAATGCTTGCGCAAGTGTTCTGCAGGTCATGCTAGCACCGCCCACAAAAGACATTTTCTTGGGCCTGCGTCAGCAGGTTTGCAGCCTTTTGTCGCAGCTCCACGGATGGTTCCTGCACATGTGCAATCTGACAGCATGATGAAAGACACAAGGCACCAAGTATCACATTACTTGAAAGTCAGCGCTGCTCTGACCCAACCTTCTTGGACTTTTCTGCCAGAATCCTCTCCAAGTCACCGTTTTCTGCTGCCTGAAACGGACAAAGCAGTAATAATTAATAATCGTACAGTATCTGACAAAGTGATTGTCTATCTGTGAAAACATACGAACACATCACAAGGTTTGGCAGAAATTGCGGATTGGCTCTACTTGTCCCAGAAGCCTCCCACAACTACGGTCGCAGCACTACGCTCACAATAGCGTTTTACAAACGCAGTTGATTTTGAGAGATGAGAAGCTTGTTTATATTTGCGAAACATACCAGGGCCAGAGAATCTATTTGCATATGCACTTGCCATGCCCAGTGCCGACTATTGGACTGTATGACCATCATGTCCAACTATCTGACCATTCAATTTGTTGTGAATGCTCGCGCAAGTGTTCTCCAGGTCATGCTAGCACCGCCCACAAAAGACATTTTCTTGGGCCTGTGTCAGCAGGTTTGCAGCCTTTTGTCGCAGCTCCACGGATGGTTCCTGCACACGTGCAATCTGACAGCATGATGAAAGACACAAGGCACCAAGTATCACATTACTTAAAAGTCAGCGCTGCTCTGACCCAACCTTCTTGGACTTTTCTGCCAGAATCCTCTCCAAGTCACCGTTTTCTGCTGCCTGAAACAGACAACACGGTGATATACAGTATCTGATACACTGATCGTTGATCTGCGAAGAAACATCATAAGAGTTGGCTCTACTCGGTCGGCTCTGTACCTGCTGGTTCACCCAGAAGGAAAGCTTGCCCTAGGCATGAGGAAGACATGACCATTCTTTCTGTTGGCCTTCCCCTTCTCGACTTGTTGCAAGCCCATGCTTGCAGAAGCAAAGCTTGATCAATAAGATCAATAGAGATCATATTGATTGAACTGTATTGAAATATATTGAAATATATAAAATTACATTGAATATTATATTGAATTATATTGGAATATATCGAAATACATTGAAATATGTTCAATTACATTGAATTATATTGAATTATATTGAACTATATTGGAATTATTTTGAATTCCATTAAACTAATTTAATTCTACAACGTAAATGAATTAACTTCAACTCCATCACAATGGCTTCTGCTGGAAAACAAATACAAAGGGTCTATATCTACATTGGCACAAACACTTTCAATACCGGAGCTGTTCAATACCCAAGGCCGAGTACTGTCCGACCATACGCACAAGTGTTCTGCAGGTCATGCTAGCACCGCCCACGAAAGACATTTTCTTGGGCCTGCGTCAGCAGGTTTGCAGCCTTTTGTCGCAGCTCCAGGGATGGTTCCTGCACACGTGCAATCTGACAGCATGCTGAAAGACACAAGGCACCAAGTATCACATTACTTGAAAGTCAGCGCTGCTCTGACCCAACCTTCTTCTTGGACTTTTCTGCCAGAATCCTCTCCAAGTCACCGTTTTCTGCTGCCTGAAAAGGATGACCGGTGCGCAACGCATGAGGCCTCTGCCAAAGCATGTTGTTTTTGTTCCAGGCTGCCTGGGTGAGAAGGGCTGCAGCCCTTTCCCGAAGCTCGAACGGATCCTAGCATCCAGTGATTTGCCATGGTCAATGAACAGGTTTTGTTGGAAAAAACTTCACTGGAATCACAAAGATCGAGGTCTCAAAATTTTCCCATGATCGAATTTTGGGACATTGCTTCAATCGAGGCTAAAGTCGCTACATCGGTGTCCTGCTTGCTCTTCATGTCTTCGAGAATCTTCTCCAACTGCCCAGTGTCTGCAGCCTACATCGTGGCAGCTGTGTAAGTGCGACTTTTAGGGGAAGGGGTGTTCTGAAGCCTTGATTCCTTCATCTGTTAATCGCTTGAAAACGGAGGGAAGGTAGGTGGGGACAAATACAGGAGGGACAGGCAAGAGGAGCGCCGAACCTGCCAGAAGAGAGACGGGTCCCGAAACGATGGCTTCACTGTTACACCACCACACACACACACCTTGAGTCCAATGATGTACCAGCTTTTCCAATGTTCCATTGTCATTGTATGATCCTGAAAATAGATGGGGTGCAAAGGATGCCTGGCAAGGCCTTAGAAAGCCGTCGCCAGGGTCTACATAGTTTACATCCAGGGTCTACATAGTTGTCATAGATAGCAATAAGAACCACAAGCAATGATCATGTTGGTCAGTTTGTTGGCCAACTATATGAAGTAGAGAGGCTAAAGTGCCTCAACCGATTGACGCTCGGTTGAGGCACTTTGCGTGGAGATTAAAAGGTTCATGGGTCAGGGATACGTGTCGGGGTGAAGGGACGCACTGCTATTGTTTCCTTATCTGGCATGAGCAATGTCCATGACCTGTGAAGAACATGGGCTGCGTGTTTGTGACATGAGTAGAGCACTGACTTGCTTCTTACCGAGCAGGGAAAAAATGCCATGGCAACAGTTTCACAGTAAGCACGTGCAAACAGCCAGTGCAATGGACTTTCCGCTGTCATGAGTTTAGAACATGGATTGGAATCGCATGCGCGCAAGGATGATCATGTTAGCTGTTCCCCATCATATTAAATATCCAATATCACCAATCTCCAATGACATGCGCTGATTCCATTTTTGGCTGCGGACCAGGGGGGAATCGAATGGGGGGGGGCCCCCTTAAGTGGAGATTCCTTACTTTCAGCTCTCAATTTCCGGGAAAAGGCCAACCACCTCCCCCAGTACTAAACTAGTACTAAAGTACATAGAACTCAGGTAGCCTAGGCTACCTTTCGTGATTTTGCTTGATATCATTTTACCTGATATGGAACATTCGACATTATCTTGAAACATTACACAAGTGTTGGATAAAGAATATATAGACACCACTATTTTGCTACGTCTCTCCATTCAGGAAGCACCTGTGTATGATAATCAAATACCCTCCGAACAAGAGGGGACCATCGTAGACAGTGACAGTGTCAGACCGAACTGGGAGGTAGTGGCAGCTCTGGCATGGGAACATCAACATTTCCTGTCAATGCCAGGAGAGTACACAATGACTACCCTCCTCATGCAGTTCAGATTCCTTTGGTGCCGCAGATTTGGACATATTACATCATATTACACCTCAGGGGTGCAAAATCGACATAGACCTTTCACTTCTTTCACTTACCCTCTGGTAAACTGTTACATAACTATGGAGAAATCACAATTTTTCATGGGAAAACTCATTATTTCTATGGCCATTTTCAATAGCAAACTGTTGACATAACCAGAGGGTAACATCCATGGTTCTTAGATCATCCACTGATGGTGCAGCAGTGCAGCCTCTGAGAGCAGGTGAGCAACTTTCCCTCTCAGCTCCACGAACATCTCCTGAAAAATCTGTGCAAACGCTGCTGTAGATACTGTATCTAAAGAATGGCCATATTTACTGTATATTTACTGTATGATATATATTTATGCTGGACATGCTGGTACACTTGAGGTCCAATAGATTCTGTGGTGTTAATACCTCTAGAAATAGCCGTCTATCCCCCCTTCAAGGATTGTTTTCTGTTCCTTTCTGCGGTCCCGCATGAAAATTCGTATGATCCGTTGATGCTTTGTGGTTTCCACATGTCCCCAACACATTCGTCAACTTGAATTGGAAGTCCCAAGCCAGTGGAGGCAGGATATAAAAAACGCGGAAGCACCAACTACAGTATTGCTAAATTATGTTGAATCGCCCACCATTGGTTGATATAGCGTATATCAAGTTATATTTACACACATCTATCTATCTATCTGTCTGTCTGTCTGTCTATCTCATCTTATCGTATCTGATCTAGTCTATCTAATCTATCTAAGCTATCTAATTTATCTAATCTATCGAATCTATCGAATCTATCTATCGATCCATCCATCCATATATACAGACCAAAAACAAAACCTGGATAAACCTGGTGATACATGGAGAGTGAGCCCCGTCTGCTGAGTATCTGCTCCACATCGGGGTCCTTCTTCACCTCTGTCAGTATCTTGCCCAAATCACCCGTGTCAGCTGCCTGAAATGGGGAAAGGTGGGAGGTTTTGATTGGGAGGCTTCAAAAGAGTTTCTACATGAGATCGCGAGGTTTGGATTCATGAAAGTTTATGGACCTGATTGGAACCTTGTCAAAGGATTCAAGGTTCCAGTTATATCCGCGTACTGAAGGTGATCGTTTAGATCTCTGCTCATGGATGACCAAAAACTGAACGAATCTCCCAGATATCCCACTGCTGAACCCGCAGCTTGTTGGCCGTGCACGGCCTTTGTCAGCAAGTCAGCAGCTCTTCGCCGCACATCGCTTAGGTCCTGCACAGCAGTTGGTGTCTTGCGCTCCTAAGAACTCTTTTTAGGTCATCAATGTCATCAATGTCATCACTTAAAGTGACTTAAAGACTTAGATAACTATAGATAACTTAGGCCCCTTGCAGAGTTCTGGTTTCAACATGTTTCAATCCTAGCGATTTTCGATTTTTGAAAGTTCGCTACAGCTGAATCGAGGCCTCCGTGTGCGCCAGCTCTACCTGGTGGGAGCTCCCCAACCAATTCTAGCGTAATGGGGTGGTCTATATAGGGAAAAACGGGAAAATGAGTAGTGACGAGAATCACAGCATTCAATTAACACAAACAAAACAGTCCAAAGTCCAATTCATCCATTCATACATTCATCCATTCAGTGGATCTGGAGGTGAAGGCGCCTGTCATGGAAACCATAAACCATCCCCAAACCTGTGAATCATGTGGGCTTGGGTCCATTACCAGCTGCGGGAAGAAACGGCTGGGTTTTGACTCCGTCCACGCCTCTTTCAATCGACCTCCTCTGTGATCTACCTTGGCTGATCTCGGGGGATAGAATGCAAAGCCCCCAATTTTTTTAGACCAAATAGAAAACTAATTCAATGGATAAGCATGAAAACGTTACCCAAAAAATTGTAAACCAAATGGAAACCAGTGCCTCCTGGATTTAAAAAAAAACCATGAACACACATTTCAAAGCCCCCAGATATCGTCCCTCAGTTGCAAATCAAAAAAAAACTGGGTGCGGTACCAAGGCATTCACATGCTCATCATCAGCATCTTCTAGCCCCTGGCATCAACTACACGGGGTAAGTTGACAGCATGAACTTTCCGTCACTTGGGCCATGATGGCCTTTTGGATCCTGTTGGCATCTCAAACATGTAAAAGCAAATTAAGTAAGAATTATATGCATCCAGAAAGGGATGGACATCATGTTTTTGCTAGCGGGTGGAAAACCGCGTGTGTAGTCGTGGGGTGGGGTGTGGTGGGCAATAACGTTCAACTTACTTGCACACTCAGGTGATGCGAATTTGGCCATGGAGATGGCACCATGGAAATTCCATGAAATTCCAAGGACTAAAATCCAAGGCTATGGCAGAAGTGAAAAGCAACCACCATCCCAAACCCACAAAACCCTGTAAAATACCATGGGATCACTTCAAAATGTATGGCAAAGTTGATCATAAAATGTGCACGGCGCCACAACGCCAAGCACTTTTTTTCAAAAACTTGCTCAACCGCCAGCACGGTTTCCCACCCGCCGGGATGTTTTTGAAATATTCTTCTGTGCCCAGGTGTGGTATCTTTCAAGGGGGGCACTTTGAACATGTTTCTTTACCAGCCAGTTTCTTGCAGGAGGAATCCTCATTCAACAGTTCCATGTTGGAAAAAGGAGGGCGTGGATGACAGTTTGTTGCAGGATGCAGTCCGAAGCAAAATAAACGGCCAAGTGGAATATGTACACTCTGCTGGATGGACAGCTGTGGGATTCGAATAGAATATCAGCAGGTTGTCAGCCAGGAAACCTATTAAGAGACCCCTTACGTAGCCAGGGAATAAATGAACCTTGCACCAGGTTCGGTATGTTTCGGCCTTTCATTTGCATCAATTTGGTCTGATGTCTGCAAGCAGCCACCCAATCAGTCAACCTCCATAGGAGGTGGAGGTGGAGGAAGGTCACTGAAGTATTGAGCACCTGCCAAGCGCGGCAAAACGTCGAGAGCCTGTCCCAGTCCTGGGAATTGAATCGGGTTCAAATGGTCCAAAAGGTTTCATATATTTTCATCATCTATTTGTTGGATCGTTGAACAACTTTCCTGTCATCTTTTGTCCACAACTTTGTGGGATTCAATGGATGAAAACGCACAGTGTCCAATGCCAAACTTTGTTGCGCCTGCTGCGTGCGCTGCATTCTCAACAGCCTCATGTTGTACTTTCGGCAAGGAAGGATTCATAGACACCCCCGAGCTTGAAGTATATAGGTCCATCGAAGGGATGGGAAACTCATCGACACTTCAAAAAACCATCCCATGAACTTGGCGTCATGGCAAGGTTCTTGCAAAGGGACATCTGCGAGTCAATTGAAGAACACTTACGAACAGAAATCACCAAATGAATTCTACACGTTTGTAAAGTTGAACACTGTGGGCCATAGAACAGTTGCCAATCCCGTTTGAAGTCGACAGTCAGCACAGTCAGCACAGTCAGCACAGTCAGCACCGAGCCTCATCCAGTGAGCCATCGTTCAGTTTGGACAGCATCGCATTCTTCACCCTGGCTGAGTTGGAATGCGAAATGCGATGCTGGCGCCGATGCAGGCAGCCATGGCCAAGTTCCATGGGAGTGCAGTTATGGCCCAAAATACCAGTTATAAGTACTAAGAAAACCCCATTTATAGAATGTATAATCCCATTTATAACCAGTTATAAGGCAGTGGTTTATGGTCATCCCCCATGATATTCCCATCGATTGGGTTAATCCAGGTAATCCAGTGCCATGCAGTGCCTGTCTTTGAGGTCGTTAATGTCTTCCTCTTCGGGTGCCGAAACCTTTTGGCCGAGAGAAAATGACCAGTGGCAATCGCCACCATCGCCAAATCACTGCAATGGCTAGCTCTCCTCATATTATACGTGTATATGATATGTACAATATGAATATAAATATAAATATGTAATATATCTATCTATCTATCTATCTATATATATATATGTACTATAGACTAATATAGTTCATCATAGCTACATGTCGATATAATTCTACATACATTTTACAAACACACGCTACAATGGCAGTCGTTGAATAATCCGCTGCCGCCTGCATCTCTTTTGAATCGTTGGCCTTGATCAGCTGGGCAACCATTGCCTGATCTGTGACATGCCGCGAATGTCAATGGTGCAAATCTCACATGTCGCAAAAAAATGCACCAAACATGTTCTTGAGAAGTTACACCAGCTTTTTTTTTTGCGTGTTGAACCTAGAGACTCAAATGCCGAAGTTCAAGTCGCAAAAGTCATCACTGAAATATTACAACATATCACAACTAAACAGGCGCCTGTGTCGCTTTTTCATCTCCAACTAGCGTGGAGAAAACCTTGGACCCCGAAGTGACGGTGCTAAATGTTGTGCTAAAACTAGGACATGAATCCCAAGGTGACAATATGAGGTGTAATCTGTGACAATAAAGGTGCCATCTTCAATACTGGAACAACACATGGCTTCCAATTCTGAAAACCTTCAACATGGAACAGGGCAACCCCCCTGAGCTACCCAACACTCAACAAACTTTGAGTTTTGGCATGTTCCTGGCACACTTCCAAGAGAGAGAGCGGAATCTTCAAGACTAGATGGACTACATGACTGCCGTAGTCGTCATGTCGACCAACACCAACCAACGACTGTGGCTCAAGGAGCGTAGCAGCTTTTGGTAGATGGTTTATCCCATTCTCCCATTGTAGTCCCGTTGTTTCATACTTACAGTTAGCAACAAAAATCCCATTACACTCCCAATATCATATCATTTACAGTTTACAGTGCCAAAATAATACCAATAGTGTATAAGTATAATATCAAGTTACTGTATGATGATTTTATCTGTTATAATACCAAGAAGTGTTGGTACAATACCAATAGTAATCTACTGTTGGTAGATGGTTTATATCATTATACCACTAGTTACTGTACCAACTGGTGCTGTTGGTCAGTTGGTCTCTGGGACTATGCCTCGGTTGAGAGGTCGGAAGTGAGAATTGGGAAGAGCTCATCCTTAGTGACTGAGCAGCTGAGACATATGTGCAATTATATACAACCAGACATACATATACATCCATGATAGATCTATATCGATATCATATATATATATATATTAGAGTTGCAATGAGTTGCATATATATATATATATATCATATTTATAAACAAGTGGGTTGAATATAGCAAATGGGAATGGGTTAAACTTGGTTACCGGAATACTGGATGATTCACACTCAACAACTAAACCAAAACCTGTGGTCCACTGTTTCTTAAATTTTGACCCATCCCCACAGTGGGTGAACAGCAACAGGCTCTGGGCAAGAGACCGAGTCCGACAAGTGCTGGATCTTGTGCTCTGCAATGCTCAAACGGCTCGCAACCTGTGATCCAACTCATGCCGACCAGAGCCACAGCCGGAATGTATTGGTCTGTACCCTGGCAATGAATTTTTGACAGCTTCCTGAAACTTTTACAGCTTCCTGCACATACAACACATCTCCGACACCCTTGCCGCCTCGTAAACCGCCTCCAGGACATCTCCGTCAGACATGTTGAAGGTGTCCATGTTGTAAATCCGGAAGCAATGTTCAACCTAAAGGGCTGGGTTTCCAGGTCAAGCATCAACACAGTGAGTCACAACCCATCCCAACCGCTTTCAGATATGCAAAGTGATTTTTTTTTGGTTTAATCATGTTTCATCATTGAGTATGGGTTTCATTCGGTTTTCTTTCCATTGCCATTCTCTGTTCGGTTTCACGTTTTTCTCTTTGGCCTTATATGGAGCCTGAGGTTCCCGTCACTTCGGCCTTCCAGAGCACTAACAGGTTCGACCTGACAGGCGGGTCGTGAAGGGACAACATCCAGTGGAATCTAAGATTGTCTGTTTCACAGTCACAAACATCAGGAAAAATCTCACTTCACTAAGCTCGAAAAGTTGAAGGCTACTTCTGACATCCGAAAAAACAGGTAGAACTCGTGAATATTCTATGGGTATCAGCGATCTTGGTCAACTTCAACCACCAACGATTTTGAATCAGCAGCTCAGCAACTCCATCACAGCCCTTGCAGTCACTTTCAAATGTCCTCCCAGAATTTGTTGAAAACAAACAAACATATGTATATATATAGGTATTGATACCACCAGTTTCATAGGTCAGATCAAGTCATATGCCCGTTTTTTGTGGGTAAACTGAATAAACTCCACATTTTTCATCCGTTTGAAACCATCCAATGGGACATTTTCCACAGTGCCTGCACTCGCATCAAGCCAGCCCAGGCCCTGCCGGGTCAGATAGCTGCAAACATGGATACGTCAATGCACAAAGATGTTTCAATCCACACACAAACACATAAAGATATATATATATATTATATTATATATATGTATATATATATATATGTACACATGGAAATAGGTAAACATATATTCGACAGTTGAACACACATACTTACATATCTATATACAATATACTCTTGCCCGCCTCCAGCTCCCAGCTGCACTGCAAGGATGGGACGCCTGCCGCCATAAAGGCCCCGGAACGAAGCAGAACGGCCCACGGCCCGGAACGGGGGTTCCATGAAGTACGCTAAGCCAATAAAGAAAACACATAGCACCTGGTCATTTCATAGGTAATTCCATTCTTAAAGCATCAAAAGATACAATGTTATGTGGGTTATTCCAGTTAAGAGGTTATTCATATACGGTTTGGAAAATCACTGCTATTTTTGAGATAATCATCTAAAATGGACCATGGTTTCCATAACCAACTGTTAAATTCCCAGAGGTAACTTATTCAATAAACATGGAAATCAATTCAATGAACATCAATCAATTCCTAGAAATTCCTTGACCTTACCCTCTGGTATTTACCAGAGGGTACCCGCCCCACTGAAACATGAAAAACCATAAGACCACCGGGTGAATCTCAAGCCGCTGCCTCCATCTGTGCAAGTCTAGGGAGCTTCAGTATGACAGCCGCCTGGGCGAAGAACCGGTTTTCAATCCGCCATAAAAATCACTTGCGAATGGGGAAATGTGACTGAAAATGATCCAAACGGGGAGGTTTCCATGAAACTGATGGAAGCGAAGATGGAACCGAAGGGAGTCAGACAAGTCTCCAAGAGCTGTGCAGACGTTTTTGTCACTTCAAGTCTTGGGTGTGCAATGCACAGTTGAGCAACGCCCACATCCCCGTGTCACTCCTTTCACCAGTTGATTGGATTTCGAGAATCTGTAGAATCTCCATTAAACTAGTGGCTTTTGGTATACTCATGCGTAACTATTTCGTACCCGATTTGGTAACGCCAAAGATCCACATATGTCCCATGGGTCAAAACATGATTACATCGGTATTAGGGATCCTTACATTGGCCATTCTAATTTCCCATTGATGGTGGTGTGACCATCCCCCAAGAAGGGTATATCGGTATATCATGGTACAGAATCAAACTCTTGATTATAGTGGATTATATTATATATATCCACAGTGATATATATATATACCATGATCAATATACCATCGATATACCATTACATGCCCTTAATATATATATATAATATAAATATAGTATATAAATACATACATAATTAGGTGTATATATATAATATATATATATATTAATATATATAATATGCATGATATCCCCATGAAATTCATGATATCCCCATGGTGATGAAATTTCATCACAGCCCGCTCTCCGTGCCTCCAAACTGCAACCGAGGCCTGCAGCGCTGCGGTTCCGTCACAACCCGAAGTCTGTGTTTTTTTTAAAGAAATAACAACACAACCCGACATAATATGCTATGATATGATGTGCTATGATATAATATGATATGATATGGTATGCTATAATATGATATGATATAATATGATATGGTATGATATGGTATAGTGTAGTATAGTGTGTAGTATAGGGTAGTATTAGTATAGATACACAGAAACACGTATCAAAATAGTACATGGACATATAGACATCATGATTGATATATTACATGGATGTACATGTCAAAGTCTACCATAGTCGACAACATTCTACAAGCCTTTATTTTGCCAATAATTGAACGGCAGAGCTAAGCTCCCGACCGTGCAGGTCCGAGGTCAGATATCCAAGCCTCTCCGTCCATGCAAACGCCTGCATCCAACTGCCATGTTTGAATACCAAAGGGTGTCCAATTGCTGAGGGGTCGCCACACATTTTGTGTTTTGGGTAAGGTTTCCAGTGATGGAATGGGACAAATATGACAAATCATCCCCAATTCCATAGCAGTAGCGATGTCCAACTTGGAGACTGCAGGTATCTTGCTGTGTCTACATCCTACGTGGGCGGTTGAGGCTATGGCTTTTTCATGGTCGTCTAAGTTGGGATACCCCTGCAACTATGGAGATCTCCTTGCTAAAAAAAAACCTAGAAGTGCACAAACAAAACATGAAAAACTCGTGAAACATCGCAGCTCACATTTTTGACACTGGATACCCTCTGGTAAACTAACATAACTATAGAAAATCACCATTTTCAATGGGTAAATCCACTATAAATGGCCATTTTCAATAGCTATTTTGACATAACCAGAGGGTACAGCCCAGGGCTTCCCAGGGCTTCAGTTGGTCACCTGCGTCTCTCCAGGTTGTCGCCGCCGCAGAATCTCTCCCAGGCCATCCAAGGCCCGTTGCATCTCCCTGTAGCAATGGGAGGTGGTGCGGTTATCCAATCTCCAATGGCTAAAAAGGCGACCCTTTTTAAGGCCTTTTAAACGGTCATAAATCGGTGAAACATCCCCAGTTAAACCTCTGGTTGATGTTTTTTGTTCCCATGTATAGACTTTTCACCATGGAAACTTATGTGACTGATGGGAGACAGGCGATGTCCACGATGTCCACAGCCTGTAGGCGACGTGCAAGTCTTGCCCCAGCACCATCATTGTGAGGTGCTCCTGGTGACTCGAGCAGAAAAAAAGTCGCTGAAACACACTTCTCAAGCACACCTGGAAGCTGGTTCTGTAAGGTACCCTCTGGAAAAAACTGTTACATAACTATGGAAAGATCCACCATTTTTAATGGATAAACCAACTACCAGTAGTACCGCACAAGGCGGTGGCGGAAACTTCAAAAATAGGAAACCTATAGGAGCTTGGTTGTTGTGAATCAGGGATGGCAGAGCGAAGCCACTGACTCCATCTATTTCTCTAGCTGTCTCTCTGATTATTTATCTATCTGTCTGTCTGTCCATCTATCTGTCTGTCTATCTATCTATCTATCTATGTATCTATCTGTCTGTCTATCTATCTATCTATCTATCTCTCTATCTCTCTATGTATCTATCTCTCTCTCTCTATGTATCTCTCTCTCTCTCTCTCTATGTATCGATCTATGTATCTATGTATCTATCGATCGATCGATCTATCTATCTATCTATCTGTCAACCTGTCTACCTGTGGTGCAGTGTCATTCAGTCTAATGTAGTGTAGTGTAATGTAGTGTGATGTAGTGGAGTGTGACGGAATGTAGTGTAGTGTAGTGTAATGTAGTGTAGTGTAATTTAGTGTAGTGGAGTGTAGTGGAGTGTGGTTGTGTTGTTGTAGTTGTAGTGTCATGGAGTGTAGTGTAGTGTAAGGTAGTGAAGTATAGTGGAAGATAGTGTAGTATAGTGTAGTGTAGTGTAGTGGAGCGTAGCGTAGTGTAATGTAGTGTGGTGTAGTGTAATTTAGTGTAGTGGAGTGTGCTGGAGTGTAGTGTAGTGTAATGTAGTGTACTGGAGTGTAGTGCAGTGTAATCTCCTGTAGTGTAGTGTAGTGGAGTGTAGTGTGGTGTAGTATCATGTAGTGTAGTGTAGTGAAGCGAAGCGACATCTGAACCTCCAAAAGTGGTCCGAACCCTGGTGTTTTTAACATTTTGACTTGGAAATGTGCTTCGCGCCACAACGGCGTGCAATTTTTTATCTCTCATCTGGCCAGCTGGCTCCGCACCTGCCGCTTTAGCCAGCCTACTTTTCGACCCTCCCGAGCCCCAAATCATTGGAAAAACACAGTGTTTCTCGACTTTCCTACCTTTTCGCGCATCTGCATCTTCTTTCTTCTGACTCTTTCTCTTCTACTCTTCTCTCTTCTAATCTTTCTCTTCTCTCTGCCTCTTCCCTGCTCTGCTTTTCATCTGTCCATATTGTCGGAAGTTTGACTTCTAAACTTCCTTCGATAAATGGCCATTTTCAATAGCTACGTAACAAATTACCGGAGGGTGCCACTTCGCAAGCGACTCATCTCATTCTTAACTTCTCAACGTCCTGTTGATTGATCCAGACGGCCATCTTTCGGTCGCTGGAGGTGAAGATCTCAGCTGGTATCAAGATCAACTTTCAAGGGAAACGGTGTGGTCAAGTCCCTACCAGTTACTCCTAGTCATAGGAACAAATGGACATCTAGTCGGCAAACAATAATACCACATGATACCACAATCTATCTCTGGGTGAAATTTCAAGTTCAGGATATTTGGCTTGATCATTTTCAGTTATGTTATCAAACCATCCCATTTCCGGGTACCCCTCGGCAAGGTGATCATCCATCCCATGGGAATCCAAAGTTAGGCTTAGTCGAAATCCGAAGTGAGCGTGGACTGATGATGATTCTTCCCATCTGAAAAATATGGGTTAATCATGGTTAATCTATGTTAATCTATGTTAATCTAATCATATATGGCACATCTCTGGGTATCTTTGGGTTTACCCCATCTAACTTGAGCATGGCACCATGGCACCATGGCATTTCTTTTGTGCGGCCACGGGACACCGCGACCATGCGGCCAGTCTCGGCAGGTGCCACTGGCCTGGGCTCAGGGTATGGCTAAAACTATTGCTGGGCCATAATCTACCGGTGATATTTTAATTATGGTGGGTTAACACCGGTTAACACCGGTTCATACTATTACTGGTGGTTTCATGTGGTTTCTATAACGATGTTAAATTTGAAGGGGTAAGTCATGCCCAAGTCATGCTTTTCTCCTCAAACATAAGCGCAGCAATCTGCTTCTGGAACAGGGGATCCCAGAACTCCCAGCAATCATCGGATCAGACTCCGAAATGTCAAAGAGAAGACCAGCAGCCTGGTTTGAGAAATCGATGGCTGCTGTATCCTTTTAACATCTATGGATGAATGATAAGTATGCGGATAACATTAACATTAGATAACTTACCGTATACAGATATACAAGTACATATGTATATATATATATAAATGTATGTGTATGTGTATACAAACTAATTATGCGTATCCCGTATCCATCTTTTGATCTCGACAACTATAGAATAAGTCATGAACCTTATTTGTGGTCACTGGGGTTCTCCCTCACACCTGTACCCATCTATGGTAACCTAGTTGTGAGGTGGTCGCTCAAGTCACGATATTTCACCTACTGATTTTGGATCTATCCCATGAGTTCCAAATTGGGGCCAAGAACCAGCAACGAAACAGCGAAACAATAGGCTTTGCCGGCAAATTTCTGATGGAACGAGTCTGAAACCCTGGAAGTTCAGGATCTGATTTACCTGACCCCATTACACATCAGGTGTATTTGCGCAAAACCGTGGTTACTTTTCCACTGACATGACGATGTCGTGAGGCAACTAATGTAGCACTGGAAAGAGAAGTTCTGGGTGTCTAAACAGGTTTAAACATGTCTAAACAGGTCTAAACATGTCTATGTCTAAACATATCCTACTTTCGAACCACCTATCGTTTTTTCTTTTTCGAACCACCATGCACCTTGAGCCTTTGCTCCTCAAATTCATCCATGCCACCTGGATGCTGGAGGAGCTTTCTGTTTTTAGTTCTGCGAAGCGACATCGTTTTGTTCACACTGTAGCAAACATTGTGGATGGTTGCAAATTCTTGCACAAGTTGGTAAATTGCAAAAATATAATCCCAATAGTTACCATCTGCTGCAGGCATGTCCACAGTTCCCAAGTCCAACCTGCACGAGGTGCATAACTGAGGGATTGCCGCAGTGGCAGGTAAACGCCTGGCCAAAGGAACCGGTGGAATTGGCTGTGAAACATCGGAACTTTCGTTTGAAAACCAAAAAAATCATATTTGAACAGATTTCCAGATGATGGTGATTTTATATATTTGTACATGCATTATGCATATATATATATACAATATATATATATATAAACAATATATATATATATACAATATATATACATACATATATATATATATATAAACAATATATATATATATACAATATAAATATATATAATATATATATACAATATAAGTATATATATATACAATATATATATACAATATATATATATACATACAACATATATATATATACAATATATATATACATATACATATACAATATATATATATATACAATATATATATATACACAATATATACTATATATATATATGTGTATATATATAATATGATATGATATGTTTCATATATTCCATGTGCCTTTCTACTGTGAAATGATGTCCCAGTTCCGTGGGTCCGTGTCAGCCTTAGAGCAAACAGTCCTGGCCTGTGACGGCGGGAGCAAGGCCCCGAACTGCCTTTGCGATCAGCATTTCGACCTGTGGATCTTTGGCAAAGCATAGTTGGGAAATCGGATGTTTTAAAAGGAAATTCCCTACACATTGATAATTTTGTTAAGGATTTCTATTTTTTTTCATGATTTTATCCATTTTAACAGGAAATTCACGATTAAATATAGGTATTTCAATGGATAAATCATCAAAGACAATGGGCGATTTTCCAGCAAGTCACAGAACTGTTAATCATCCAGTTGCAGTGCCCACGACCTTTTGCTCATTGGAGCTCTTCCAAATCCTTCCGTTTCACCATGCTTTTCCCATGGCTTAGGTCGCGCCTCGGCCTTCTCTTTCCGGTCCATGGCTGGCAGGAAGCGAAAGCCGCGGATGTTCCGCGCCGCGCGGAGCTGGCAGACGACTTGGGGCGATGTTCATCGAGGAGGACCATGGAAAAGTGACCAAATACATATGGCTATCAGGTCCATATGAATACCAGTAGTACCCGCACGACGCGGGGCAGAAGTTGCCTTAGGGTTATACAAAAAGATCTTTCGCATCTATAGAACTTGCATGCGCCGTGCGCCAGCCAGGCCCGTGCATGCGTGCTTTGTGCGAAGCTGTTGCAATCACGTTGCAATGCAGCGCCAAGCGAACCTTTTCTTCAGACTTCACACTGCGCTCTTCACACCCCGCACTTCACACTTCACACTTCGCACGCCACACTTCATCTCATCTCAAACCATGAGAGCTCTTCTCACCTCATCTCAGCTCTTCTCATCTCATCCCATCTCTTCTCACGTGTCATCTAAGTAAGCTCTTCTCACAGATGCACTTACACAGAAAAGCCTTTACAAAATGCTTTCTACTACAAAGCTTGCACAGACAAAGCTTGCACAACACACTTGCCAGTAGCACTTGGTACTACAAAGCTTGCACAAAAAGTACTACTTTGTACTACAAATCTTGCACAAAACGCTTCCCTGTACTATTTTGTACTACGAAGCTTGCGCAAAGCACTTCCCAGTACTACTTTGTACTACAGAGCTTGCACAGAGTACTCCCCAGTACTACTTTCTACTACTTTCTACTACAAAGCTTGCACAAAGTAGTAGTAGTAGTAGTAGTAGTAGTAGTAGTAGTAGTAGTAGTAGTAGTAGTAGTAGTAGTTTGTACTACAAATCTTGCACAAAGTACTTCCCAGTACTACTTTCTACTACAAAGCTTGCACAAAGCACGTCCCAGTACTACTTTGTACTACAAATCTTGCACAAAGTACTTCCCAGTACTACTGTGTACTAGAAAGCTTCCACGCCACACTTCCCAAAACACGTCAAACTTTGACGCAAATCAAGCTTTTTCACACAGCAAGCTTTTACACACAGCAAGCTTTTACTACACAAAGAACGCGTTGACACACAGCAAGCTTTTACGTATCTATGCGCACGGCAACAGAAGATGACATCAATCAATGCCCAGCCATTCCACTGCGATATGCAACAGCACACATGCACGCAAACGCATTCGAAACAGCTTGAAGCCACCGTTACACTAAGGCAAAGAAAAAACGTCAGCACGACCCCAGCCGCACCCGCCGCACACACGAGGTGCCATTTACCGTCGGCTGCAGCCACTTTACACGTAAAAACACAAGGTTTTGTGCTCCGGCTTCCCCAAAACCAGCCCCATGCAAAATGCATGCAGCCATTACAATGTGTTTTGTAGCATAACGTGGCAAACCCGCTTGTATCTACGCACATGGCAGCAGAAGACGACACCAATCATGCAGCCATTCCACTGCGATATGCAACAGCAGATTCCAAGCCACCCTAAAACTACGCGCACACACACAAACGCATTCAAAACAGCTTGAAGCCACCGTTACACTAAGGCAAAGAAAAAACGTCAGAACGACCCCAGCCGCACCCGCCGCACACGCGCTGCCATTTATCTCCGGCTGCAGCCACTTTACACGGAAAACACAAGGTTTCGTGCTCCGGCTTCCTCCGCAAAACCAGCCCCATGCAAAATGCACGCAACCATTACAATGCGTCTTGTAGTATAACGTGGCAAACCTGCACGTATCTACGCACATGGCAACACCAGATGACAACAATCATGCAGCCATTCCACTGCGATCTGCAGCCACAGATTCAAGAAACGCATAGAGCTACGCACACATGAGCAACCACTCGGTGCAGAACGCCAAGGGAGAACCGATTCGCCGATGAAACGAGCGCAGGCGCACCCGCCGCACACACGAGGTACCTTTCATCGCTGGCTGAAGCCGCTTTACACGGAAAAACAGAAGGTTTCGTGCTCCGGCTTCCTCCCCAACACGAATGTTTTGTTATGTGATGTAAAGTTTCGCACCGCCCTTCAAGAATGTATCGTTGTCTGATGTAAAGTCTCACACCGCCCTTCATGAATGTATTGTTATTTGATGTAAAGTCTCAGACCGCCCTTCATGAATGTATTGTTATGTGATGTAAAGTCTCACACCACCCTTCATGAAGGTAAGGTTATGTGATGTAAAGTCTCACACCGCCCTTCATGAATGTATTGTTATGTGATGTAAAGTCTCACACCGCCCTCATGAATGTATTGTTATGTGATGTAAAGTCTTACACCACCTTTCATGCATGTAAAGTTTCACACCACTCTTCATTGAGTAAAAGTCATGCCAAACTCGGAAGATTGCTTTCCAACTCCCCGTGATAATATATAAATATATATGTATATGTATATATACAAATATATTATACATATATATATATGTATGTATATATGTATGTATGTATGTATGTATGTATGTGTATGTGTAAACAAACACTTTTGGTAGGGCCACTGGCAAGTGGTCATTCGGTGATATGGGACAATCTGGTAACCAAGAGCAACCAAGTAATTTCGGCACCGCCTCCCAACAAAATCACGATTCAGGCTTTGAAGTTGAACACCCTTCTTTTGCGCTTTTCCTATCCACTGCTAATTCCACAATATAGAAGATCCATGGAATACAATATCCGGTGAATTTATCAGACTCATGAATATATATATATATATATTATATATATAATCCAGCATTTTTGTCTACATTTTTGTGGCACAAAATCGAGCTGAACTCCCCAATCCACCTGCCTGCACTGAGACAATCTCCGTACCGAGTCCCTCGAGTCTCTTGGCCGCTGGCCTTGGCCAATTGGCGACCCAGACCGTCGCTGCCATAGTTAGAACGTCACTCTCTCTCTCTCTCTATATATATATACACATATCTATGTTCACACACATACACAGACAATGTATATATATATATAGATATAGATATAGATATTGATATACATCACATAGGAAAGAGATGTAAACCGACCTCAGGCTCCACCATTGGGATCCCCACTTCACGGGGCTCAAGGTTTTGGGTCGTTGAGGTCGACAACTCTTCACCTCCCCTGAACGGCCAAGGACAGACTATCTATGAAAAAACACACATACATCATACACATACATTTACATATGTATGTATATATATACATACACAATATATATATATATTCATGGTATAGATGATATGATTGACCTAATGACAGTCACAATTCGCGTATGAAAGAGTTGGGGAAATGAAACCATCCATGAACCATTTGCTTGATGAAACAAGAACAGTTGCACTACCTTCACGGAGTACTACTTCAACTCTATCGTGCAGTTCCTGGGTGAGAAACGCAATCGATATAACTCAGGTCCAGCATCTCAAACCTCGCATGGAATACGATGGAATATGTGTATATATATATATACACATACATATATAGTCTAATATACACATGTACTTTCCAGCACAAATCAAACACGTCTTAAACACTTTGAAAAGCCAAACCATGTTTTGGTTTTGGCCTGCTGGCAACAAACCATGCATGCGAGCGATGACAACCTGAGTGCGGTGCAGAAACATCAAGTTTTTTTGGAATTTACGAGCTGAGCTCTTTGATGTGGTTCCTGGATGCCCCAGGTAGACTTGACTCCGCTCAGCTTTCTGAGTTTAAACGGTTGCCCACAAGA